TAATGAAAGAACAGTCATTTCACAAGCTACATGCAAAATTGTTCTAGAAACTTGCATTGTAGTAAGCACATGCCGTTTTTTTAAACGTGGAAAGGAAAAGTTCATTCACTGAGTTGGTAATAGTTGTCAGTTTAATTTTCTTGAGAAGCTTGAGAAGGGAAAAGAAAGTCTATGGTGGGGCAAATCCCCACACTAAGGCATGGGGTATTTGGAAGAGGCCTTGACGTCAGGGAGGCAAAAAAATTTCTTTATCCATAGTTCACTCTGCTTGTGTTTTATATCCTTTCACCCTATCCAGTGTCTGTCTTGTCTATTTTCACTGTAAGATCTTTGGGGCAGGGATTGTCTTCTATTCTGTGTTTGCACAACACCTAGCACCATGGGGCCCTGATCTTGGTTCATCCCTGGGCATTACAATATTACATTATTATATTATTAGTTGCTAACCCAGGGATCGGCAACCTTTGGCATGCGGCCCATCAGGGAAATCCGCTGGCAGCCCAGGATGGTTTGCTTATCTGCAGCATCCGCAGGTTCGGCTGATCGCAGCTCCCACTGGCTGCGGTTCGCCGTTCCAGGCCATTGGGGGCTGCGGGAAGTGGCGTGGGCCGAGGGATGTGCTTGCTGCCACTTCCTGCAGCCCCATTGGCCTGTAACAGCGAACCGCGGCCAGTGGGAGCTGTGATCGGCCGAACCTGCGGACGCTGCAGGTAAACAAACCCTCCCGGCCCGCCAGTGGCTTTTCCTGATGGGCCGCATACCAAAGGTTGCTGATCCCTGTGCTAACCAATAAGAGAAACTGCTCTTTAGCTGCTTTGCCTTTGACTACACTGGGAGTTTGACTGGTTGATTCACCAATCCCAACCATCCTCGAGTCTGTCCAGGCCCAAAACGTTCTCACTGGAATGTCCCTGAAAAGCCTGTATGTTGGCTCCCCACATCCTCTTCCCTCTCCTATAGGAGGGCCATGCTAGTTCTGCTGCATTCAGTGTTTTCTGTGGATGAAGTGGGATTTGCGCCCCAGTTTACTGTTTACTGCTAGATTAAACCACATAGTGTGTGTGTGTGTGTGTGTGTGTGTGTGCGCATACCTGCCTAATACCTGAATCCCAAGGAAGCAGGGTTCATGGGAACCCTATTTGGTCCTCATTGAAGCATAGGTTTGTTTTTGTTTTATATTCAAAGACTTTTGTTATCTTGTACTTTATGTCATTATATTTACAATGTCCAAAGGCCTCTGTCTATCTAATCACCTGATTCATAAAATAAGGAAGAAAAAAGTCACATTTGTAGTTCTTGTGTGAAGCAAACTAGCAGGTTAGTATAGCCTGAGACAATATAAAAGCTGTAGGATTTGCCATACCAGATCACGCTATTGTTGCATCAGTTCCAGTATCCTGCCTTTGGCAGTAACCGATATCTGATTCTTCAGAGGAAATAGAACCCGCTCCTCACCCAGTACTATAATGCACTAAACAGTTTCGCTGCTTTGATGACATAGGAAGGTGAGGTTCCTTTGTGATCAGTCTATGCCGTGGGGTATCATGATTTGATTTACCATATCTTAGCAAGTATAACCATAAATGTTCATTCAATCATCTGGCTCATTGCAGAATCCAACTTCAGTTTGAGATGGAACATAGTTAGCTGTGTGACTTCTCATACTGAAGGCTGATGTATGGGACAGAGGTTGTCTGTTGTGCATAGATATATTTGTGTTCACCTCATTGGCTGTTATCTTAGGATGCTTGATCAATCTCTTTTTGGGACTGACTGTGTCTGAAATGAGAGTAATCAGAACAATGGGCCAGATTACAGAGTGCATCTGATATGCACAGAATACAGATGGGGTGTGTGTACAAAAGTAGTCTAGAAATACACCTTTGAACGCCCCTGAATGTGATTCTCTGTTTAGGACCACTCTCCTGGTGTGGAGTTAGAGCAGCCCTGAGTTTGCTCTAAATTATGACAGATGCAAATGGCCACATGAGATTAAAACCAGAGCTGAAGATCAGCGTAGCATGGGAACATCCCAGCAACACGGAATGCTGGCAGCAGGAAGAGGGGAACTGGAAGAGCCCTAAAGCTGGTTCTACAGTTTGGGAGGTCCTCTTTTTGACTGGGGGACTCTCCCTCCCCGTCGGGGGTAAAATGGTTTTTGGACTGGCTTATGGTTGTGGTGTGAAATAATGCAACTGTATTGCATTGTAGAATCTGATTCAAGGACAGCTGATACATCAGTCTTTTCCAAATTCTGAAATTGTTTAGCATTATCTTGCATGGACAATATCTATCTTTTGGCCTCATTTGCTGAGTAACTGGAATACACATCACAGGGTGCACAGCTTAAAGCCCAATTCTGAAAATATGTATTTCTAACTCCCATAGAAAATCAGTAGGAATTTTGCATCTTCAAGAACTGCAGGGCTGGGCCCTGAGTGCTGTCTTGCTTGTATGTACTTTCTGCTGCTTTGTAGCAGTTTATTTCTAGAGGATTAGTTTGAACGCCTGCAATTGCATGCTGGAAGTTTGCCACCGTTGTTCTGTGTCCATATTCTCCAGGGATTTGATAATTGTTTTGGTTGAGTTAACTCCATTTTAAATACACTTCCAATTTTAAATGTGATCCCAGTAGCAGATTCAATCAGTAACGACATAAACAACCTCCACTTCCTCTCACTGAACTCCTGTGCATGAACTTCTGAAGTGTGAGCTGGCTGTGGAGTTTCAATGACCTAGTTTATCTCTTTCTGTCAACTTAAACAAGAAGAAATTACTCAGTAAATCATATAATTACAAGGTGCACAGAGATATGAGCCTGCAGCCTGCTAGATTAGGGAGGCTCTACCTATAGTTAGCTTCCTTTGTTTTGGTTATTTATTTTGTTTTCCTTGATGCCTTTACAGTGGGCTTGTGGATTTGCTTTCACATTAATCAACATGATTCTTAGCCCATACATGAATCACCTTTTTAATAATGTGTCCTTCCCACTGTACTGAATCCTATGCCTTCATTTCTGTCTGGAAATGCCTAACACAGGGTTTCTCAAACAGAGGTTGCCACTTGTGTAGGGAAAGCCCCTGGCGGGCCGGGCCGGTTTGTTTACCTGCCCCATCCACAGATCCGGCCGATCGCGGCTCCCACTGGCCGCGGATCGCTGCTCTGGGCCAATGGGAGCTGCTGGCCACCGCTTCCAGCAGCTCCCATTGGCCTGGAGCAGCGATCCGCGGCCACCCGGGGCTTTCCCTACACAAGCGACAACCCCTGTTTGAGAAAACCTGGCCTAACACATTGTGGACATTGCCAGAGACAAGTGTTTTTTTTTTTAACTTTAAAATTCCATTTATTATTTTTGTTCATAAAACTGATTCTCATTTTATAAATATAATTTCACTTTTTAAACAATATTCGTTGGCTTTTGCAGCTGATTAAAAAGGTTGCGTCTAAGTTTTGTATTCCTTCTTCATAGAGTATGCTGATTGTCATTTAAGACAATTGCTTGTAGTTTTTATGATCTCATACTTTTTGGACAAGTGTTTCTGGGACAGGGAGAAAGCAAAAGAAGACAGAGCATGGAAGGAAGGGAGGATTAGGGAGTTTAAAAATAACTGTATACATATGCACTGTAGCGTGTTTGATATATCAACAGACTATGGGTCTTATCCTCCACCCTTTGCAATAGGAGTTTTTTGAGTCCATAGGATTGCAGGAGCAGGCCCTGGACTGGTTATGGAGCAGCTGCTATTTGCTTAATAGTTAAGATTGCAGCTAAATTCCTGTTTAACTAAACTAACACACACACACACACACACACACACGTTAGCCGTTGTTTTGGAAACTATGGCATGGAATGCTTGCAGTGTAGTAGTAAATAGATCACTGTACTTCTGAGAGAGACCTTCCCCACAAAATATCCTTTAGGGAAGAGTAAGGTACACTGGACTGAAAAGACATGAATTCTAGGCTGACCTCTTTCACTGAAAATGTTAGTATTTAATATTAAGGGTTCTTTTCCCGTGCTCATCGCCATGCTATCTGAGAGCCTACAGGAACTATGCATGCCTCTTTTCACAAAGTCAGCAAAGAGTGGATGAATGCAATTCTCTGTTCCTCCCATTCACTCATTTGCTTCAGGCACCAATAAACTCAGCAATAAGAGCAACAGTCAACTTTCAACCAACAAATACATTCCTCGATCCCTAAACTCATTGCTCAGTCCCCAATCAGAACAAAAGTCGGGATCTACCAAGAGTGAGAAATGCAAACCATATTAAAACAAAGGTGTGCAAACACAATAGTCTTCTTCCCTGGCAGAGGGAAACATCCAAACAAACTTTTGCAAACTTCACTCAATCTAAGGGTATGTCTATGCTACCCGCCGGGCAGCGATCAATCCAGCGGGGGTTGATTTATCACGTCTAGTCTAGATGCAATAAATCGACCCCCGAGCGCTCTCCCGTCGACTCCTGTACTCCACTACCCTGAGAGGCGCAGGCAGAGTCAACGGGGGAGCAGCAGCAGTCGACTCACCACGTGAAGACACCACAGTAAGTCAATCTAAGTATGTCTACTTCAGCTACATTATTCACGTAGCTGAAGTTGCGTAACTTAGATTGATCCT